CAAACAATAAAAATCTTATTAAAAATTAAAAGTGTTTATCATCATGTTTTGTCTCTCTCTGTAAGCCAAAGATAAGATTTTTTATTGGGTGGAAATAAAATGTTTTTTTCTTTTAGATATCTTACTGTTCCAAACATTGCTAATGAAAAAACTCCGAATTTTCCAGCCGTCAATCTAAGCGGAATTGTAGATCGATATACTATAAACATTAAATTTTTCGCGTCTTTCGATAATATATCGTACCACTTGGATTTATACACGCCATATGCCATACTGGTACTCTGAAAATTAGATTTCTGTTGTGCACAGAAAAATCGTGTTTGATATACGTAACTACTTTACCTCCGTTAAAAGTCTTTCAGCTGAGTAACAATAAATATACAAATGTGTCAATACCATAATGACGTAAAACGAGAGAAAACCCACTTTGGCAGGAGGTACATCCAAATGATTTGATATTATCTGAAAATAATACTTTTCTGTTTCTAAGTTCAACAATTGTTTATAACAATCAACCATACCGTAAAACTTTTATCTATATCTTAATTTTTTATCAAAAAAGCATCACTACTAAACTAAAAAATTAAAACATTTAACATATATTAATTTCTGTTGCTTAAATTATACAGAAAACCAAATAAATGTCACTTACCGTGAAAACTTGAAAGCTTACAAAACACAGTTGGAAAGTGGCGGCAAACATGTGTATAAATAACACTACGGTATAACAGTCGTCTACTGTCTTTGCGTTCCTTAAAAATTCATACATTTTATACTTATATTGTCGACTAATTATTTTAAGGGGTTACGTATCTTTAACAGGCCTAAAACTAGGTCGAAATTAACAAATTTTTATCGTGGGTAAAATTATATTTAAAATAAAAATACATGTCTTGTAGAGTAGTCTTTTTAGAATATCTTCAAAGAATTTCAATAAAAATACCAAAATCTGAGGTCCTGGTAGCTATTTTCCCAAACGGTGTTTATAAAAATGGCGTTTGCGGTACCAGAAACACCTCCGCACCCTCTTATGTGAAATAAAAAATAAAAATTTTATTGAAATTTTCGGAAGATATTCTCAAAAGATTACTTTACAAAACATGTATTTTTATTTTTTAATAAACCATAATTTTACCCACAACAAAAATTTTAATTTCGACCTTGTTTTGTATAAATCTTAAGATTTAATTTAAGATTTTTGAAGTAAAATAGTATCTCACTTTCTCATTGTCCACATTTAAGTCTGATAGTCTTAAAGTTTTAAAATTTTAAAGTAAACTATTTAGAGAATCATATTATAAACAAATATTTTTTTGTTTATGTTACATTGTAGGCCGCGTTCAGCAGACACAAATGTTGAGTATCGTCTTATCAACACGCTACACTGATCTGTTGGGTCTAAAAGTAACAGCCAATCATGTTCGATTGCTACTGAGCGGTTTGTTCTGCTGAACGTACCCGTATATACACTTCTTATAAAATTTAATAAATAATTATATCTCATGAATAAATTGCTGTAAATATTTAGAGACATTTTGCACTATTAAATAACCAGGTTCGAAATTTGTCGGCATACCTGATGAGATGTTCGTGACGGATAGTGATCGCAGCTAATCCTTTCTTAAATCTCGAGGAGGATATAAATCCTTCGGCTAGTTTGTCGATCAGATCGTTGAGTGCCGTTCGTAGATTTATCAACTGTGCGCATATGTGCAGCAGGAGTATCGAGACGAAACTGTCGACGGTAGAGTTGATGAGGGCCGTGTATATGCCGCCGGAAAGTTGAGTAAAATAAGTAATTTCGTAGTTCGGACTCCTGTGAATGTTGTAAGGATAGGCGGACCCATACACGAGGGTCCGTTGAGATTGGTGCATATTTCGATAGAACTTCCGCAGATTGAAAGAAAGGTAAAACGAGATTGTGCACACGGTGCACACGTAACAACCAAAAGATAAGATTCTGCCATGTCTCGCAATATTTAACATTGTATTTCGTTCCCGGTCGTTTTTCGAAGTCATCCAATCGGTCACGACCGATGTCATCAGCGTTCGAAGTGCTTTCGGATTAAACATGATACATCAATATACGAATAGCATGAATGGACGATATCGTTTTTATGTAACTAAATGTTGTACAATATTGATGTTAAAATTAAATAACGAATTTTTACATTTATCTCTCACGATAGTAATATCGATGCAATAACTTACTTTTACCGTGATACCAAGTACCGACTAATTTGCATAGTGCCATCAAGCCGTAGTTTGCGGAAGCGACGTATTTCACCATCCGTGCCACATTACCCCAGGCAAGAATCATATTCGTCAATT